TACTTATCCAGCCCTTACCTCTCTCCTGACCTCTAATCTCACATCTCCAACTGCCCTTGGACATCTTGAACAAGATGTCCTGCAGATATCTTAAATTCAACAATCACAAAAATGAACTCATTATCTTTCCTCCCCTTTTCTTAACTTCCCTATTACCTTCAAGAACACCACCGAGACCTTACTCTCTTTTACTAGCCATATCCAATCAGCTGCCAAGTCCTGTGCATTCATAGCCCCTCCTCTATACAACCCCCTGGAGCAGGCCCTAATCACCTCATACCCAGATTATTGCAACGGTTTTCTGACTGGTCACCCTGTCTCTTCTCACTCCATTCACTTGTCAAACTAACCTTCCTAAAGTATGTATCTGACCGTGTCAATAAACTCCAATGGTTACCTCCAGGATCAAATATAAAATTGTGTTTGTTTCTTAAAGCCCTTCAAACATCTGAGTTTTCCAGGCTTCTTATCTCTCGCTCCCATCCACGTATTCTGTAATTCAGAAACACCAGCTCCTTCCTGTTCCTCATAAAAGACACTGCATCTCCCAGCTTTATACATTGTCACAGGCTGTCCCTCATGCTTGGAATCTCTTCCTTCAGCTCTCAGCCCAATCCCACCTTTTGGAAGGGTTTTTCATAGTCTTTAACACTAGTGCCTTCCTTCTGTTATTATCTCTAATTACTCCTGCATATATATCTTAAGTGCACATAATTGTCTACTTACTGTCTCCCCCATCAGACTGTGAGCTTCTTGAGAACTAGGATTATTTTTTCCCTTTCTTTGTATCCTCAGCACTTATTACAGTGACTCCTACATAGTAGGTGATATACATATACACAGGCAAAATATAACAAATGCTTGTTGACTTGACTAAAAGTCCCCCTGTAGCTGTATACAAAATGTTGTCATCACATAATTTCAATCTTAAATGTGGGAGACACCTGTTCTGAGAAACATTAAGAATGCACTTTGTTCTACTAAGTTAAAATATTTTTAACAATGTTTGATAAATTCAAAAGCCACAACTTTTGGGGTAAGAATTCATTATTTGGCAAAAAGTACCAGAAAGCTTGAAGACAACCTGGCAGAAAATAGGTTAAAATCAGGATCTTGTACCATACAGCACAATAAGTTCCAAAAGGACAAATGATCTAGATATATAAAGGTCACGTAATAAACAAAATAGAGAAACAGAAAAGAAACCACCTTTAACAACTTTGGATGTCTGGACAACCTTGGATGGGTTCCTAATCAGACAAGCGATAGAAAGGATCATAGAAGATAAAAATAATTTTGATCACACAAAATTTAAAAATTATAGCACAACGTCAATGAAGTTAGAATTGAAAAGAAACCATTAAAGGAGAAAAATCTTTACAGTATATTCTCTGTCCATGAGATCCAGGACATATATGGAACTGGCACATCACTCAGCGAACAAGCATTCGTTTAGCACCGTGTGCCAGGTACACAAATACAAAGAGACCATCTCTACTCACAAAGAGCTAACATTCTAGTCAGGGATGCAAGGACATCTATAAAAACTACATGCTATAACACTTCTTGCCTGCTAGGTTTTCAAGACAAAGGGAGGTAGCCTCTGTCTTTTCTGGTATGGACACAGCCCCAAGGCTCCTACGGGCTCACATAGACAGATATAGGCAATAGTCCTCCCTCAGAATGATCTGCAATGCCCCCATCACCCAGACTTAACTCAATGAGCCCACCCTATTCTAACACACCTGATGATACCTAAATTGCAGCCATAATGCCTAGGAAGAATTAACCCAACTCTAGAGGGCCTGCACTGGAAATCCAACCCTACTTAGTGACAACAAGTATCATACACAGAAATTCAAAGTAGAGCTGGAACAAAAGCCCAGGTCTCCCAACTCCTGTCTAATGTCATTGCCATTGTACCAAAGTGCCTCCCAAAGAGGTTGTGACGAAGTGGCTTTACATCTACTTTAAAATATTACAGTGATCTCTTTTAAAGACCAGTGTCTAATGTAAAGGAGCAAGGACATCCTTCATCTACTGGGGAATGAATAAACAAGATATGGTATATAAAAGTGATGGAATACTACTGTGCTATAAGAAATGATGAAGGGAATTGCTCCAGAAAACCGGAAATACTTATATAAACTGATGCAAATTAAAGTGGGCCGAAGCAACAAACAATTTATGCAATAATGAGAATATGATAAAGACAAACAACTTTGAAAGACTTAGGAACTACGATCAACACAGGGACCAAGCACGATTCCAGAGCACTTAATTTCCGTATCAGCATAGCAAACATCCCGAATGCTTCCCCCAGGTCAGAAGCCTGCCAGAATCGATATACTGATCCTGTCTCCCTCAGCTCTAACACTCAGGGGTTTAAAGTAATTTTGGCATCCAAGCATGAAACATGCTGCCCACCTCCTGACAGAGATGTGATGGCCTCAAAGAGCAGACTGAGATATATTCTATCTGAACACAGCTGATGTATGTATCCGTTTTGCTGAACTATACGTGTTTGAAACGGGTTTTGCTTTTCTTACTTTCACAACAGGGGGTGGGAAGGAGGAAGCAGAAGGGAGAGAAGGCAGATCTTCATTTGAAAATAAATAATTTTCTAATGGTAGCTGGTGAGGAGGTGAAAAAGAGAAAGTTACATGATAAATTTGTTGTATATTTAAAAGGAATAGCAAGTTGTACATAATAGATCTGCAGTTTCAAGTGCAATCCTCTTTTTTTCTATTCTGCTTTGTTATGGAAATGTTTGTGTTATTTCTTAAGTTCAGAATAAAAAAATTTTTAGATTAAAAAAACTACATGCTATAAATATAAAGTGAATACTAATATGAAATAATTTGGCAAGGAGCATACTAGAAGCTGGAGTGTTAAGAAAGCTTCACAAGGAAGATGGTGCCTGAACCGCATCTTAAAGCAAGAAAAGGAATCTGTGAGGCAGAGGCAAGAAAGGAATAAATTGCAGGCAGGTGGGCCAGTCAGTACCAAGATACAAGACAAGAGTTTCACACGTGAGAAACAGAGAAGGCCAGTTTGGTTGTATCAAAAAATGGGGTCTGGGGGAGGGTGAGGATTCCGAAAGCTAAGAAAATTGGTTGTAGCCAAACAGTATAGCATTTTAAAAGCTAAGCAGAATAAAAAGAATCAGAAGAATAATTTCTACAACAGGAAAGACTTGAAAACGAAGGGAGAACCATCACTTTGGAATAGCTGAGTAAATTATGGTATTTGAATAGAATGAAATATAATTTTACTGCAAGAAATTATGAAAGAGTTTCAGAGAAACCTAGGAATATCTGTATGAACTGTTGCAGAGGGAAGTGAGCAAAATAGGAGAATAAAATGATTTATACGGTAACCACAACATTATTACAAAAAATAATTCTGAGCCATTTAAGACTATGACCACTGCAGTGACCAACTGCAGTTCCAGAGGGCTGATGGTGCAGCATGAGAGATGTATTTTTACAGATGGGAAACATGGGCTTATTTCACTTACAGTTATGCTTATTTAATACAGGGATTGTGTTTTTCTTTTTCTGCACAAGGGTGAGGGGGCAAGCAATAGTGTAACCAAAAAAAAAAACCAAGGAAAAGAAAAAAAGGCATTACAAGCGTTTTTTTGAAATGAAGAGATGGAAAGGAAGTTTAGGAGGAAGGAGAAAAATAGGATAACTTTAAAAGTAACATGGTAAGTTATATGCATTTAAAGGAAAAAGTTGGATACAAAGCGTTTTGTGGTTTTACATAAGATTCTCATTTTCTGTTCACATGTTTTTGGCATTTATTAAATTCAGAATAAAAAGTACTTTAAAAAAAACAAATAACAGACATGGCTAGATTTTATATTCACAATCCCTACTAGTCAGCTAAGTAACCTAAGAATTGTCTGCTTAAAAATTAGTTCGCAAAAAATTGGCAAAGATGCATTTGTGTTGACTAATTCTGCTGAACTGCTTTTCTGTTTTCTTTCTTTTTTTATGATAAGAGATAGTTACTTGAGTAGAAGAGGGGAAAAGGATATATTAGGAAATGAAGTAGGTTGAGCCAATATAATAAAAATGACAATAACTACATAAATTAACTTATTTATTCAGTGCTATACCAATTAAATTTCCAAAGGAACATTTTATAGAGCTAGAAAAGCTATTAACAAAACTCTATAGAGAAATAAAAGGTCAAGAATCTCAAGGGTATGGGAGAGAAAAATTAATTTTAAAAATACTTATGTGAAATTTTTAAAATAAAAAAGCAAATCAAGGTGATTTAAAAGCAAAAAATTATCAATAAAAATATGACCCAAAAAAGACAGAAGTCTATAAAAGCCTACCTAATTCTCTTAGGTTTTCATTAATAACTTCATGAAAGTGTACTACTCTCAAAGAATTCATAGCAATGAAAGTAAACATGGGTACACAGTTGCTGATGTCTTGTTAAAAACCTCAATGTACGACGCATGCCATGCTAAATCCACCACATCATCATGATCTACCAGTCTATTTGTTTGCTTGTTTTTTGAGGAAGGAGAACAGGTCTGTGATTTCAGTGGTGTAAGGAATCAACCTCTTGCGACTCTGGCCAAGAGATGAACTGCTTTGTCTCTGTGTCAGAGGTGAGACTTGAACTGAGATCTTGCTGAGTCTGAGGCCAGGCCACTATGGCTACTCTCTCAATACCAGGCTAGTGACCTTCTCCAAAAAATAAATGTTCTTCATAGCTGGGTTGGTTGTATTTTTTTTGGGGGGGGGGAGGCAGTGAAGAGCACGGAGGCGATCAGGGTTAGGTGACTTGCCCAGGATCAAACAGCCAGTATGTGTCTGAGGCAGGATTTAAACTCAGGTGCTTCTGTCTCCAGGGCTGTTCCTCTATCCACTGCTCCACCTAGCTGCTCCTAATGGCTGGCTCTTGCTGTTTGTCCTCCATTCTCAAAAAGGACCCTGACATCAGGAAGATGAAGTCATGATTTTCGAGTGAACTGGATTTAAGGGAGGTAGGGCTGTGCAGTCACCAGCATCACTCTCTCCTCCGGAGCCACCTGGGTCCAGCGGCAAGCTCTGACCACCCAAAAACCCTTCCTTTAATGATACATTCTAAAACGTTGCCTAGAAGAAGAGGCAAGTTCTTTTGTTTCAGACTCACTCTTCCCTGCTTCTAAAATCAGAAAAACATTTCCCTTTCTTCAGTCCTGAGACACCTCTCCAATGTCCACAATCTTTGAAAGATGACTGTCTAATCATACTGACCTCTTCTTTCAGTACCCTAGGCTACAGCTTGTCTGCACCTGGGGAACCTTAAGTCACTGAGGGCTGCCTTCTCACCACCTTTTCTTGGCTTTCTAGACTCCGTAACCACTTTAACCATTTTTGTCCTATACTTCTCATTGTAAAGGTTTTTCACCTTTGCAAAGAAAACAGAATTGAGTAGTTCTCCTTTTTCTCCATTATCCATCCTGTTTCACGTATCCTGTGAAAGAAGCAATATCTGCCATGGTTAGATCAGTTTTTCCTTAAATGGTACAGAAACCAAACTTAAGACTAATTGGCTCATCCACACTGAAGTAACTGATTATACAAGTATGCTAATTTGGGTCGAGTATCCTGTCAAGTTCTTAAAAGAATTTCTATACAGCAGTTGGTGCTTAAACTGTAACGATTTTACGACAATACCCTTTCTATGTTCATCCTGAGCACTGCAAGATGAGGTAACCCAGCAAAACTGAGTGTGATCAATGAGGGGGGAAAAAATTGACATTCAATGACACAGAGGAATTTAATGCATTCTTGAGAAGCCAGAGCTAAACAGAAAAGGTGACTTTCAAATACAAGACTCAAGAGAAGCATGAAAAAGTAAATGAAAAGTAATAAGGGGCTTATTAAAGTTGAACTGTTTATATTCCTACATGAAAAGATGATATTTGTAACTCATGAGACCTTTCTCATTATTAGAGTAGCTGGAAGGAATATATTTTTATATATATGTGTGTATATATGTGTGTGTGTATACATATACATAAAGAGAGAGAGACAAAGACAGAGCGCACAGGGTGAGCTGAATATGAAGGGATGATATCTAAAAAATAAAATTAAGGAATGAAAGAGGAATGTACTGGGAGAAGGAGAAAGGGAGAGGTAGAATGGGGTAAACTATCTCACACACAAGAGGCAAGAAAAAGCTTTAACAGTGGAGAGGAAGAGGGGGGAGGTGAAAGGGAATGTGTGAACTTTACTCTCATGGATCTGGGTTAAGGAGGGAAGAACATACACACTCAATTAGGTATGGAAATCTATCTTATCCTATAGGAAAGTAGGTGAGAAGGGGATAAGAGAGGGAGGAATGATAGAAAGGAGGGCAGATGAGGGGAGGGGATAATCAGAAGCAAACACTTTTGAAGAGGTCAGGGACAAAGGAGAGAATAGAATAAACAGAGGACTAGATAGGATGGAGGAAAATGTAGTAGTCTTTCACAACATGACTATTATGGAATTGTCTTGCATGGCTAAACATGTACAACCTATACTGAACTGCATGCCTTCTCAATGAGGTTGGATGGGGAGGGAGGAGGGGAGAGAATTTGGAACTCAAGGTTTTAAAAACAAATGTTAAAAATTGTTTCTACATGTAAGTGGGAAATAAGATACACGGGCAATGGGGTACAGAAATCTATCTTATCCTACAGGAAAACAGAAGGGGAAGGGTAAAGAGAAGAAGGCGGGGAGGTGATAGAAGGGAGAGCAGACTGGGGGAAGGGGTAATCAGAATGCATGCTGTCACATGGTCGGGGGAAGGCAGGGATAGTGAAAAAATCTGGAACTCAAAATCTTCTGGAAGTGAATGTTGAAAACTAAAAATAAATAAATACATTGAAAAAAAACCCCAACGTTTGTTGCCTCTGGGTTTGAGATAATTCCGACTACTCTGATTCACTGATCCCAGGACACTCCATCTTGCCATTTAACTATGACTTTTGTCTTTTAGTTTACTTTATGACAAGACTATCAATAGGGATATGGTTGTTACTCCAGTTGTGTGTACATTAGATGGCTGCTGGATCAAATGTTAACAAGAGACAGTGGTCAAAATGATATTTGTAGGCGACATACAAACTCTGTGACTTCTAGCGTCTTCTAACCCCTTTACTACAATTCCTCTGCCATCACTGGGGGAAAACAGGACTTCACATAATGAAAGGTCATTTTGTTTTTATCCATTTCATGGGCCAATAAAATGAAAAAATTTTTCTCATCTAGGAATCAGCACTTTGATAACGCTTTGCATACGTCCACCACGTTGGTCCTTAATTGGCCAACGTGGCTTGCTACCCGGTTAGTATCTGAAACCTGTAGGAGCTTGTGTTGTGCTTGCACAGTTTTCAAGAATCAAGTTCATCTTCACACTACATGAATCATGTGAATAAGACTTTTATAGGAAAAGCTAAACTTAGCTACTGAAAAATATTAAAATTTCTATACTTAAATGTTTTTCCTTTACAAATTTCAGAAGTTAGAGCTTCCAGAGGCTTCCAAAGCTTAGTTACAGAGAAAGAATAAACACTGTTAACAGGGAAAATTTGTAGGATAACAGAACTTTAAGTCCTATATGAAGTCACACTAGTTTTCTATGAAAATTTTCTATGAAATTTTCAATGCTAAGGTAAACTTTTTCCCCCAACAGGGAAAAGATTAATTATGGTAAAATATTATTTTTCTAGAATGAGCTGAGACCAAGCTAATCCCAGAAAGATTACCAAAAGAAAAGGATTTATATTCAGTGTTTCAGGATAAGGTATTCTTGGTTGCAAGACTTTGTCTTTTGCCTTTCGGAATACTGTACTCCAAGATTTTGTTTCTACTTTATAATAGTAACTACCAGGTCTTGTGTTATCCTGACCATTAGTTCCTTGATACACGCATTCTTTCTTTCTGCCTACTTGAAGTATTTTTTCTTTGACTTGGAAGTTCTGAATTTTGACGATGATGTTTCTGGGAGTTTTCATTAGAAGTTTCTTTCAAGAAGTCCCACCTCTGAAACACTGCAGCTGTATTACTTGGGCAAAGCACTTAACCTCTCAGGGCTCTAAGCACTCACTCTCTGAGATTATGAGTTAAAAAGAAGGTGCCAACCTACAAGTGTAGAGGGAGTTTCCTCATCTGGGAATTCCTTCTATGAAGGATATCACAGGTCTGGTCCCGACAGTTTAGGAGATGATCAGTAGAATCTTCCTATTTTCATTTTGCTCTCTGGTTTTAGTAAATTGAGGCAATTTTCACTCTTTATATCTTGAGACAGGGTACCTAATTTTTTTGTTGTTGTTGTTCCTAGTTTTCAGATATTCCAATATACTTAAATTCTCTCTCCTTGATCTTTTTTCCAGGTCATTTTTTTTATAGTAGATAACTTACATTTTTTCTATTTTTAAAAGTTGTTTTATTTTAGAATGATGAAACAGTAGAATGGATTAGGTACACAATATACAATAGTAAATTGCCAAGCTTTTGGGGTAAGAACTCACTATTCAACAAAAATTGCTAGGAAAGTTGGAGAGCAGTCTGGCAGAAAGAAACTAGGTACAGAACAACATTTCACAATGCATATCAAAATGAGGTAAAAAAAGGTACACGATTTACACATAAAGGATGACATCATAAGCAAATTAGGGGACCATGGCAAAATTTACCTGTCAGATCTATGGGAAATGGTAGAGTTTATGACCAAATAAAAGATAGAAGGGATCACAAGAAGTCAAAAGGATTACTTTGATTACATGAAATTGAAAAGTTTTGCACCAAAAAAGCCAAGGCAGTCAAAATTAGAAGACAAGCAGTAAACTGGGGGAAAATGTTTACAGCAAGTTTCTCTGATAAAGGCCTCGTTTCTCAAATATATAATTGAGCCAAATTCATAAAAATAAGAGTCATTTCCCAACTGACAAAAGATCAAAGGATATGAATAGGCAGTTTTCAAAGAAGAAATCAAAGTTATCAATAGTCACATGAAAATATGTTCTAAATCACCATTGCTTATAAAGAAATGGACATCAAAAGAACTCTGAGGACATCTTACACCTATCATACTGGCTAACATTATAGAAAAGGAAAATCATAAATGCTGAAGGGGATGCAGAAAAACAAGTACAGTAATACATTGTTGATGGAGTTGTAAACTGGCCCAACCATTCTAGAGAACAATTTGGAACTATGCCCAATGGGCTACAAAGCTTTGCATAACCTTTGGCCCAGTAATACCCCTACTAGGACTGTATCCAAAGAGATTAAAGAAGAAAAGGACCCATTTATACAAAAATACAGCAGTTCTTTTTGTGGTGGCAAAGAATTAGAAATTGAGGGGATGCCCATCAATTGGGAAATGGCTGAACAAGTTGTATATGACAGTGATGAAATACTATTATGATATAAGAAATGATGAGCAAGATGGTTTCTGAAAAACCGGGGAAGACTTATATGAACTGATGCAAACTGCAAACTGATGCAGAACCAGAACACTGTATATAGTAACAGCGGTATTGTAAGGATGATCAATGGTGAAAGACTTAGCCACTCTTAACAATACAATGATCCAAGATAATTCCAAAACACTCATGATGAACAGTGCTATCCACCTCCAAAGAGAAGACTGATAAACTCCAAGTGCAGATCAAAGCATACTTTTTTCGCTTACTTTCCGTTTCTTGCTTCTTCTGTTTTTGTAACGTAACTAATATGGAAATATATTGTACATGACTTCACATATACAATGGGCTTCATATTTTTTGCCTTCTTGATGGGTGAGGGGAGGCTGGAGGGAAAGAATTTGGAACTCAACATTTTTTGTTAAAAATAAATTAAAAAAAAATTTTTTTTAGTATTTCTTGCTTTATGAAGTCACTGAGTGCTGTTTGGCCCATTCTAATTTTCCAGCTTCTGTTCTGAGCTCCTGATTTTCTCCTTCCAATTCTGTTCTCCTGGACTCTTATTTCATTCTATTTATAATTCTATTTTTTCTATCTTACTTCATGTCTTCTGGTACTTACTTGTGTAGTCCTTATGGCTAACCTACTTTTTTTTAAATCTGATGTACTACTTATTACAGTTTTTGTAGAATTACTCTTTTCTTCTTAGTTTATCTCTTAAGCATCTCTTAACCCACAGTATTTCTTCCTAGGGTTTGGTGTCTTATGCTATTTACTAACACCTCCAAACTTCACTTCCTGATGGGGACTTCCTCACACTCCTGAATGAAGTGGTCAGGCCCCGTTCGACCTTAGCCTCGGTTTCATTGGCTCCTGTTGCTGGCTTCTCCCTCCTCAGGTGGGTCTGCACTCAGAGTGCTGGTAGATCAGAGCTCTATGCTCTTCTTGCCCCCCTGAACATCTTCAGGCCAATGCTGCAGTCTTCCAGACTTGCTGGGGCAGCCCTGATGATGGCACTGCTCCAGGGTTTCAGCCTGTTTACCTGTACTGGAGATGGCTTTTGGACGTGGCAATACCATCCTTCCAGCACCTGTGGTTCTGACTGTATTTACACATAGTCTTGGGATATTTGGAGCACACTGAGTATTTCTCGTGTTCCTTGATCACTGTTCAATCTGGTTCGCTTTTAGATCATTGCTAGGCTCCTCTGTGACCTTTTTTTATAGCGATCTTAACCAGAAATCTCATAATCATTTTGAATTAACCTTACTCTGTTGAAAATCCTTTTGCCTGAAAGATCTCAACTTCCTGTCAATTTATTTTCTTTTGGTAATAATCTTTCTGGGATAATCTTGATCCCAGACCATTCCATAAAAACTATATTTCATTGGTATAATTCAAAATAATGCTACTGATAAGTAATTCAATAATGTCTTTTAACTCAAAGGGCAACTATTATATATACTTTTAGTTCACATTTTTGTTATTTCTTTCAAATAATTTAAAATATTTCCTCTAAGCTGCATTTTGGCAGTATGTCAGTCTTGCCTTTCTTCTCATGAATTGTGCTCTGTACAATATATTGCAAACTGGAATATTTAAGACCAAACTCTTTTCATGTATTTCATACTCTAACCCTTAAAAGAATCAGTTACTCTAAATCTGTGATCTTTTAATACATATAATATTAAAGTCTATAATCAACAGACTGGAATGTGCAATATAGACTGAAATACAGATGTTCAGAAGAGAACTCAAAAAGGGATATAGACAAGCAACCAAAAATAAGACAGAAAATTGCTATTATGACAAATTAATACAAATAATAAGAACCCAATCTATTATAGACACACAAATTATTTTTCCTAGGGAAAAACAGAAAATAAAATAGGTTCATATTCTAAATTTATCAATACGATGGTCACCCACTCCCATTAGTTTGTTCTTGTTTCTTGGTTAGTTTTTTTTTTTTAACTATTCTTGAGTTGCCTTGCAAAATTCTATAACAACAGGGTAAATTCCATTTGAGTCCAGAATCTTTAAGGAGTACTGGGTGATAGGTTACATTACCAATATGGATAAAATTATTTTGTAGATGGTCCATATTATATTTCTTTTTTTTTTTTTTGGTGAGGCAATTGGGGTTAAGTGACTTGCCCAGAGTCACACAGCTAGTCAGTGTTATGTTTCTGAGGCCAGATTTGGCCTCAATTTTACTACTTCCAATTTATTTTCAAAGTTATAAATGAATATTTAAATTGGACCATATTAATTAAAAATATAATTTAAGATAAGCTTACATCACACAATAAAGAATCAAAAGTAACAGAATTGTTTGACCTGGGACCAACAGCACTATTTGGCCAACTAAGAATCACACAGACATGTGTAAAATACTGCAGATTAAAAGCTATCAGTATTTGAATTAATGAGCTTTTGTTATAATGCTATTTGTCCCCAAAATTTAGGCTATATTCTTCATGCAGTCTCATCACATAACAATATCTATATTAAGAGGCAGCCTGGCCTCCTGTAAACAGAGGACTGGCCTTGGAACCAAGAAACCTGGATTCAATTCCTGCCTCTGACCTATACTAGCTATGTGACCCTCAGTAAGTCACTCGACTTCTCAGTACCCCAGGCACCTCTTTAAGACTAAATTATAGACGAGTTACCCAGTTATAATGGTAAAACTGTCAGCAATGGGAATTCCTGACTGACAAACCACACAAGTGGGCTCATCTTCACACACACACACACACACACACACACACACACACACACACACACACAATTTTGTCCTCCAGTTAAAGCTTTATAAATTACTTTTCCCATGGATAAATGCTATTACAACTAGAATCTAACTATTGTAATCTAAGGAACTAGACTTAACTATTTTGTGTCCCCAGAGTAATCCTAAAAAAAGATTAATAACAATATATTCCAGCATAATTTAAGAAATTAAGCCTGACAAACATAATTTTGTTAATAATGTTACAGTATTCCAATAAAAACAGCTAATTTCCCAAATTATGAATGTGGAACTATCTTTAGTTTTTTAAAAAATTTAAACAGCCCTTCTAGCCTTCTCAGTTAACATAATCTGAACTTAAATTACTCATGTATACAATACATACTCTTCCTGGCTAGAAGGAATGCAAGTTAGAATTCTTGAAACCTAATCCTGTTACCTCTGACAAAGGATCACTTAACTCCAATTTATTACTTCTTCCTGAATAAAAGAAAAAGTAACTAACATTTCACATTGGTGATACACAAACTAATAAAGCACTTAAAAATAAAACTATGTGAGAAAATTTACCATTTTTATACATGTATAAAAATAAAAATGTTGGTTTTCTATATGTACCTTTTTTAGCCTTTTTCTGCTTCAGATACATTCCTCAAGCATAATTAATTTGCATTTATTTTGATAGATGTTGGAATTGTTTGGTAAACTATGTACATTCTAGCTTTTCCTTGGAGAGCTTGATATACTCTAAAGATTGAATTGTCTTCCAATGAAAACTGGGAAGTTGAGAACAAATACTATGGAGTAAAAGCACTGAGTGTATTATTATTCAAATTCTTAGAAAATCACATTTGAAGATATTATTAAAGAATGGCATCTATAAAAATTTTGGCTATATGCAAAGATAAGCTTTACAAGGTACCATATTTCATAAGTACTGCAAAAAATGAGAAGCAGTTATCAGTAGGGTACAATGGAATAGTTAATTTCAAAAAATTAAAAAATGTTCAGCATCAAATATGGCCTTATATAAGGTAAGGAATCTTCTCTATAAATTGGTAAAGTTATGCTATCATGTATACATAGCCTCAAATCTGAAAAAGGCCCAAGAGATCATTTAATTCAACTCGTGTCACATTAGAGATTAAACAAACAACGGAGAAATTAATGGATTTGCCCAAGATCACTCAGCTAAGTTAGTCAGAACTACAATTAGCACCCACACCCAAGTATCTCAAATCTCTTGGCCCAGAGCTCTTTATGCAATATGACAATACTCATAAAACCACACACACACACAAATTTCTAATGTTAGGTTTTAACACAACACAAAAAAGAATTATTAAAAAATAAAAAGCTATACATTTTTTCCTGCCTCATAAGTTTAAATAAAGTTAATCAGTCCCAAACAATTTCTTTTAAACTGATACCCAGCACCTACAGGAATCTGAAATAATAATAATTACTCATTTTAATGGCCTACTAGTGTGTGCAAATTAAAAGCAAGTTTGCATATTAAAAATATTTTGATCCAAATTTAAAGATGAACTGACAAAGAAAAAAGGCTAATATTTCCTACCACATAAGCCTGAAAAACAACTTTTAAAAAATCATATTTGAGTTCAAAAATAAATTTTGTCATGCTATTCTTACACATGGAAATGGATAGAATTAGGTAACTCTTGACCTATTTTCATGACAGCTTGAGAGAAAAATCTAAAGTAATAAGAAAATATAGATTACTTTTATAAATTTATAATTTATAAATTACATTTATAAATCCCATTGGAAAGTTGACCAACTCAAGAGTTCAAAGTGAAGAGCAAGAATTTGGGTTACTATATATTTTAAGTCTATTTATCCAAAAAAGTCACTAAAGACATAGAATTTGGATAAACAGAAGCAGGTAAATAACTATATGCAGCGACTAAATTACATCTATAATTCCTTTAAGACCCCAAAATCACACAAAAATACAAATCACACCCAACTGCTATTTCTGCTGAATAAATAAAAACTGAGTTTTGTCAAATATGTCAAATAACACTTTGATAAACAAATAACAAAAGAGGTTTCAGTTCCATATCTGTTATTCATGGCGGGGGGGGGGGAGGAGAAAGGGAGGCATCTTTAAAACAGCACTGATTTCCTTGCTTTTGGGAAAAGGGGAAAAAAAACTAGTAGTAAATGGTATTTTCAATTAGTTATCAAATTCCCTGAAAAAATAATGAAGTGTTTTCTGGTTGATTATTTTTAAAGTCCTGAGAATTTCCATACAGAAATCTCTAAACATTTCTTAAAACATATTCTTTAGAGAGTAAGAGTCAAAATTCCTATCAGTTTACTTCCTTTTTTATAGTTTAAGAAGTTACCCAAACTACTAAAAGCCAATTATATTCACTTCTTAAATCATTCTTTTCTAAGTCAATTTTATACAAACTATAAGGAAAAGAATCAGTTACATATCTGTAAATGTTTATAATTTAAGCTTAAAGTTCTAAATCTCAAGATAAAAAAAGATTATAGTTGTATCATTTAAGCTGTCAGAATACATATCAAGACTTATCTTTTTGCTCTGCCAAAATCACTATTGCTTCACCTACGTTAACGTGACTTAAAATTTAATTAAATGTAAATAAAATGAGCATTAAAAAAACCATGAAATTAAACAATGTTTAAAGCAAAGCATAAAATGAGTAGAGACTGGGAAAACATACTTACTGTAAAAATGTCCTAAATTCTGAAGGTTCGAAGTTTTCCACAGCAACAGGAACATGGTTCTCCCCCTTATTTAATGTTTTTCCAATAGTGTGAAAATAGAAGTCTGGAACTCTTGCTAAAAGCACAGCTTTGTGAGCTTTGAACAACGTAGGACCTATACAAAAAGTGACATCTGTATGGATTTCTTCTCTTAGAAGCCTGTTAAGGATAGGAATCATAATTCGATTACTTTTAAATTTTAATATGCCAAATATTGGTCTTGTTTTTCTTTCATAAATGACAACAGGTAAATTCATTTTCAACCTAATATATAAAAATACATTCATCCAAAGAGGAGTTATTTCTATCTAATTCAACTGTAGAAACTTGGCACAATCTTTCCTCAGAAATGAAATTTTCATCTTAGAATACACAAAGATGATTCCACTAAAATAACAGCTAGGGAATTCTTAAAAGGAGTGTCTTATGTTTAAATTTGTTGCTAGATGAGTGTCAGTCACATATAATACCGACATTCTCTGCTTAATTTTAAATTCCCTCCGTTATCTCTAAATTTTGCACTCCTGATAAGAACTTCAGTGCAACTTCTTACAGGTTTCTATCTAAAAACATAATGCTAACATAGTAATGACAACAGTAATATACAGCTAAAGTCACACTGAAATTGAAAAAGAAAAAAGCAGTAAAGCCAAATGCAAAAAATCTAGGTCTTTAAAGGTCCAATGGTTTAAACAAAATTATAATGGTTTAATATAGAAAAATCGACTCAATGAATTTTCCAGATTTAAAATTCTGATTCTTAATCATCAAAAACTGTCTGAAATTAAAGATTCATTAAAAAGGCTCCAACAACAATATTAAGTCTCATGCTTTTCCTTTGCCCCAGAAGTGCCACTGTGATGTTTTTACTAACTATTGAATAAGTTATCCTCATTGCAAAAGTGTTTTGCCATTTCTCAGGTGTGGTTACACTGAGGACCAAATAATTATTCTGACGTACAATCAATACCTAAGTTTAAAACTAGTAGTACAAGAGTCTTTATTATATCGCTGCCTCTTAAAGTAAACTTTTATCTTACATCTTACAATAAGTGTTCAATAAACAAATATCTGTTGAATAAATTCACTACATAAATACCAAATAATCTTCATGGCACTATGTTCATACCATGAGACTGAATACTCTCAACAGACTTCTGTACTGCAATAATGCAAAGTACCATTCACACTAGTATAAAGCATAGCGACAACTGGAGAATTCATTATCATGGAAACCTATTTGTTACTTTATAAACAGGATAAATACTTTTTATGTAAGCTTTTGCAACACTGTGTCAAAACTACTGTTAGAAGCTTCTTCTATAGTATTACATATTCTGATTACTCAGTAAACCACATAAAACTTTTCGAATATTCCATTTACTTTCTCAGGGACAAAAGGCTATGTTGTTTCTAACTATGACCCCATTTGGGGTTTCCTTGGCAGAGATCCTAGAGTGGTTAGCCGTTTCCTTCTCCAGCTCATTTTACAGATGAGGAAACTGAGGAAAACGGGGTGAAGTGACTTGCCCTGAGTCACCCAGCTAGTAAGTGTCTGAGGCCACACTTGAACTCAGGTGGGCGAATCTTTTCCCTTTCCAGGCCCAGCGGCCCGTACGCTATGGCGCCACCTAGCGGCCCTTCGACAAAAGCCGCTTCATTCAGCGAGGACAGGTACACATACGGTGGTTTTACTTTAAAAACTCCGCTTCGGGGCTAATTTAGCCTTGAAACCCGTCTGCCCTTCGCTTCCCCACAGGGAGAAGTCTAGCTCTCGGGGTCCCGTTCTGACCCCGCCTGCCCTGCAGCCGCACGAGGCGAGGGCCGCCGGTAGCGAGACGAGAGGCTCCAGCACACAGGTCCTCTCTCGGGGCCTCGGCTCCTTTAGGTTCCGGTCTGAATGGCGTCGACGCGAGGTGAGGGGCACGCGCTGCGTCACCGGTGACAGCTAACAATCTGCGGGGGGAGACCGACTTGGTGTGAGGGTCGTGGCCGCCTGTGCCCCCCTGGACCTGGACAGCGATCACGTACTCTCGCCTGCCGGGCTCAGCCAGTGCTCCTCCCGCGCCCGGAGAAGACCCCGAAGCAGAGACACAGCCGGGCACCCCAGTCTGTAAACTGGGGGTGATGACAGCACCCTCCGAGCACAAAAGGAGGTCCTGTAAAGCATCGTGTGGGGGCTAGCCTTTCGGGACTGCACACTGGAGCATCGCCGGCGTAGCAGTCGGAGTCGCACGAAAAACTCCCTTCGGCTCAGAACATTCTACATGCGAGCCTTCTTCAGGTCACTTTGTCGCTTTCCCAAAGGGCCGCATTCTCAGGATCACGGCCCTACACCTGAAGCAGCAGCGAGTTAGGTCACTTTTCTCTAGCTAACCCATCACCACCGGGCTCACGCTTGGTAAGGACGGAGCCCCGCCAGCCCAGGGCCCCGGACGGCCCTTTAACCCCCGCCCAGGGCCGGGGTCCCAGCCGGGGGTGCGCCTGCGCATGCTCCGGGCCGCAGAGGGCCCACCCCGCCCCCGTGGCCTCCTACCTAAGGAGATCTTGGCTCAGCTGCTCCGACACCTTGGCCCGAAGCCGGCGACGCTCGGCCACCCCCTTCTTGCAGGCCCCCGGGGGGCCCCGAGGGCCCGCGCCGCCCGCCCCGCACCGCGCCATGACTCCAGGCTGGGCGTCGCGACCCCGAGCCGCGCGCCGGCTCCTAGGCCACCTGAAGAAAGAGGGAGTTTCCGGTCAAACCCCCGGATGCTGCTGCCCGGGCGGTGTAAACACTCCCTAAAACCAGCGAGGGAAGGGGCCACCTGGGTTGCTATTAGTAGTCGGTCCCTTACTCCTAGCGGCCCGGGTGAGGAACCTCGCCGCCCGACTGTTCGGTGGACAGCGGCCTCACGTGATTCTCCCCTCGGGCCGTGCTAGCGCAAGCGTATTAACTTTGTTTACCTTCGCCTGGGAGCGCCCCGGGGCTCGGGGTGGGATCCGAGCGGAGGCGTCTCCCTATTGGTCGACGTGTAAATCGTTTCCGTTAGCGAGCCAGTGAGGCGCGTGCCTCGGAGCCGTTTGCCCCGCCCCCCGGGGCGAGAGGAGGAGTCTGCACGTGCTGCGTCCCGCGGGAGGGATGCGGCGGCTACAAGGGAGTCACGTGGGCCGAGAGTACTGACTCATAAAGCAGGGGTGTAGGGAGAAAAAAAATAAAGCAGGGTACCCTCGAGTGTAAGCGTGCAGCCCACCTCAGCCCCGTCATGCGTTCCCACCCTCACCATCTCCGAGAATCACTCCTACCCTATCTGCCTTTCCCTGGTGGTCCTAGAATTGGCGTCCCACTCGTGTTAGCAGGAAGCACGAGGAGCATCAAAATCCAGAAAGGTTTGTAAGGAAGTGCGAAAGCTAGGGGACGGGAAGGTCCTCGACCGAGTTGAGCGGGAAGCCACGTAGCAAATGGATGTAATTGAAAGAATGCTATGTTTTTAACGGGCAACTGTAGGGTCAGGTGGATAAAGTGCTGGGCTTAAGAGTCAGGAAGACTCCCCTTTCTGACTTCACATCCGGTCTCAGACACTAGCTGTGTGACCCTGGGAAAGTCACTTCACTCTGCCTCCAGTGTCTCTGCCAAGAAAACCCCAAATGGGGCCACGGGGAGTGGACCCGACTCAACAACAAATGTTTTTAATCTGTTGACTTCCCCAGGGGAAAAGGACAGTGAGGGAGAAAAAAAATATAATAATCCAACTAGTTCGTTTCCTTCACCAATACACCTGAAACTTGCACAGATTCATAACCAAGGAAACCCGGGTTAAGGACTTTCTCCTCTTAAACTGGCCAAGAAATGATTCCTAACCCTCCCCCCACAACCCTCTAGTTAATCCTTGTTTGTGATAATCCAAGAAGTACCAGGCAAATAAAAACATAAGCCCCATAATGTAAGTCAGCTTGAGTCTAAGGGTAGTTTCACATATGTCTTTATATCCCCAGGGTCTAGCACATAGGAACTTAACAAATCCTCGTTCACTGACCCATATCAGATGATCCAAAACCATTTATAATTAGTTTTGGAATGAATTGAAAACATTATACCCAAATGGGTATATAACAGGAAAAGTACTTTCAACATTCTGTTACATAATAAAAATGGCAAGGATACAAACGAAGGCCCAAAATGCAAAACTTGAACTATGATACCCGTTCAGATTTTAGCTTAGCTTACTTGCAAATACCTTTGAAATATCCTATGCTTCAAATTGAAAATAAAGTTCAAAGCTATTTGAAGTATATGAAAGAAAAAAGCATAATGAGTCAAGATGGGATCTTAACACATTAACCAATCTACAATAAACCTTAAAGATAGAATCCTACCCAACCCTACTCCTGTTGCCTTCAGCCTGTTTTCCTGTCACCTAATGAAGGAGCAACTGAGTTATTCTTGGGTGCTCTGGATTAAATAGCAGAATGGGATCTTGAGAGTGGGGTTAATTTCTATGACCAGAAGTGACCTCCTTTTTAGGCAAAGTAAGCCACTACTCTAGCAGTATAAATTGAGGTGAGAAAGGAGGACAAATACCTTGGTGGGGCGAGGAGAATCTTCCCCCAGAGACCTAAAATTCTACCATTGAGATTCACTCCTTTGTCTTTAGGTTTTATCCTCTATGATCCCTGTCATTGACACAATCTGAAGTGTAAAGGATTTCATCAGATTATTAGACTGGGAGAGAAATCATAAAGGCATTGTGTACCTGAAATGAAGGAGATCCATCCAGGAATTCAATGGAATGAGGAGAAAGCTGAAGACAAAGGATGCTGTCTTCTACTTCAGTTTGTCCTGACCTAGGGCCTAATCTTTGTGTGGCTTTCATAGATCAAACTGAAAGACAAATACCCCTTTAAAGAATGCTGCTCCTTAATCTGGCTTCTAAGAGATGTGCTAATTGAATTTTCATTAAGTGTAGAAGAACATTATATAACCTTTTGAGTAGGCACTATCTATTAACTTGTTTTTAGCAGTCCTCTCACTTCTGACAGTTCTGTTTTTGGGGAACTGATGAAATTCAGATTTAGTACAAACTTCACTGGAATTTATGAGCCTTGAAATTGGCTGTTGAACCTTGTACAACTTCTTTTCCAAAGCAGTTTTGACTGTCATCATCCCAATTCTTCTAAAAATAAATGAAAATAAACAAAGCCTTTTTATCAGGTCAATACGTATGCTTGCTCTTTCAACTCTTGTAATATTTTCAGTAACTTCATAGGTAACGGCCGATTAGGCAAGTATTGTCCTTATCGGTACACAAGGCAGATCCTTTGTAAACCAAAATCAAAGTTTTTGTTCCCTATTCTGTTATTTAGTAATGACAGGAGGCAGCCTTATATGGTATAAACCTGTGTCAGCTCATTGAAGCAGTATCTTTGTTTTTATTTTATGCTGTGAAGTAGAAAATTTGTGTCAGTCTGGACCAGAGAGGTAAAGGAGACGTCCACTGAAGACCCTCTGGCTTGAAGAATACTGGGATAGTTCTTAATCTAAGATATAATCATCTTAAAATAACTCTGCCAATATATGTTGGGGGTATGATTGAGGTGCTTCAGGATATAAGAGTGTTCTTCCCCCGCTCAGATTTTAGGCACTACTCAAAACTTAAATATGCTAACAACTACATCTGATAAACGTGTTTTGTGAAACTGCTTCCTAATTTGTCTATTCTCAAGATATAGTATATCAATCATTATGCCTTCTTATGAGAAAGTTGGTAAGGAAAGGCCCAAATAAAGTATTCCACAAGCACATTTTAAATATCAGTCAATACCTGTACAGCCTAAAGTAAAAGCTCTGGAGTTTTTTTCAACAAAAGTAAGTTTTCAGTTATCTTTTTTGTCTGAGAAATCTTCATCAACATTTTCTGAGTAGATTTTGCTACGTGAATGCACTCTTGTAAACTTAATGTCTTTTGGTAATGAAAACACATGGCTCGCCTGGAGTTCTAAGTATGTAGTAAACAATCTGGCATATTCTGGATTCTTCATAGCAAAACTTTTAAATTCTGAATAGGAAACGTAATTTGAATTTTCTTTGGCTATTTCCTGGAAGAGACCTGAAACTTCAAGGTTTCTAACGCCAAGAGAAGCCTGTAGAATGCTGGCAAACTCTCTCTCTGTTATGTAGCCATCCTCATCAATGTCAAAGAGCTTAAAAGCCATTTGGATAAGGTCTTCTGTGTTGGAAGGGTTGCACAGGACAGAGAGCCCAATCACATATTCTCTAAAGTCTATGGTACCATCATGGTTCCGGTCAAAGAGCCCAAAGAGTTGCTTCAGCGTATCAGTAATCGGAAGCATTAAATACTTGGCAAACTCTTCGATTCCGATCCTGCCTCCTTTTGAGGAAGTTGCAATCCTTGCATATTCATTCAATTGTTTTTTGACAGTATCCCAATCCAAATTCAACTTCTGGCTAATTTTGGTAAATTCCACCAAGCCGGCTTCCATAGGCAAGGTCAGCTTTCCTGCCGAAATCATCAATCTGCAGTCTTCATAGGTATGATCTGTGACAGGCACTTGTAGGGCATTGGCCATGACATTCCGTACTCTTCTGGCATAAAGGGAAGGATCATTTTTCTCTTCATCGTCAGGAATGTAAACGGGCATGAACTCTAGTTCCATGTTTGTGAAAGGCTGTGTGAGGGTTAACAGGAACAGCTGGAGGGCCGAACTGCCCTGCCACGTCCAGGTCACCGTGTCCAGCTTGTTGGGGTACCGGAGTAGCACCGGCTGCACTGGGACTCCGGGAACAAAGGCTCCTGGTTTGAAAGTAATTAGGCACGAGCGGTTGGTGCAGGTGGCTTCTGGGAAAATCAGGATCTGTGGCCAATACCCTACGGAGGTGACTCGCTTTTTGATTTCGTTAACCGTGTTCTTCCTGGAATCTGGGTCGCTGCGGGACACGAGCACGGGCTGCCCAGCCAGCAGTAACCTGCCAACTAACGGAACTTTGGCGTTCTCTTCCCGCGACACAACGGACGGCAAGCCGGCGACGACCCAGAGGATGCCGTCGAAGAAGGTGGAGTGCGGGGCGGCCACGAAGATGGGCGCCTCGTGCGGGCTGGCCCGCACCCCCTTCACCTTCACCAGGAAGCCCATAAAGAAGAAGAAGATGCGGCCCAGCACCTGCAGCAGCGGGCTGGTGAGCCGCCGCCTCCACGACTTCACGGGCCGGGTCAGCTTCTTCGGGTAGAAGGCGGTGGCCACTACGACCAACGGCCACGCGAAGAGGAGCAGCAGGAGCAGGACAATGAAGCGCACGGGCAGCAGGAGCAGGCCCCCCACAGTGATGTAGAGCCAGTGAGACGCGCTCAGGTGCCTCTCCTTCACGAAGGGATTCTCCACGGGCGGCGGGAACAGGGACTGTTCGCGAAGGCAGCGCAGGCTCTGGGGCTGCTGCTCCAAGGGCATCTGCCACAGCCCCTTCTCCAGCAGCACCTGCGACGGGGCCTCCTCTTGGCTGAAGCTCATGGCTTAGCCAGGAAAGGCCAACTCCGAGGGACCAGAGACACGTACCGCCACGGTGCAACCACCCCAACGCCTGTCTGTACGTCCGCCCGGAGCGCTGCGTACTGCCCCAAACCTGTCTGCCTGCATCTGCGCAGGCGCAGCCCGCCGGCCACGCCCCTTCTGCTGAGACCGCCCTCTTCCCCAGAGCCACCCAGCTTTGCATTAGGGTGAACGCGGGAAACGTTTAAAGGATAAGTTTTGTTAATCTCTCTGAAACAGGGGTTCCTAACCTGTTCATGTCATGGACCCCTTTTTGGCAGTCTGATGAAGCCTACCTACCCCTTCCCAGAATAATATTTTTTAAAGTCACTCAATATGTAACCCTAGTCCCAAAGCCCACTGATACAGCACTCTCTCCTTGCCCTTGAAAGGAAAATGCCCTTTGATGTTAGGGG